ACGAAAACGAGGACGTGCGACATATGACTTCGCTGGCAGAGCCTATATTAGACGGAAAGGCATTTCTCAGCATTTACGGGGAGAGCATTGGTGACCCTTGCTAACCCCACTGGGACCTTATACCAGCGCTTAGCCCCCTACAATTTCTTTACTTACCTAAATTTCACATAAAATGCCAATGTTTTGAGCCGAGCACGATCCATAACAGTGTCATGTACAGCCTTGTGTGACTTTGAGTCCATTTCAAGGAAGGTCTTCCCCTCTTCAGTTGAAACAAGGGGACCATGTGAGCATTCTCCTTCAACCCACTCATGCTCCCCACACACATGATATCGATGTATGACACCGAGCCACATGTCCTAAACAAAACCAAACAGCATATAGCTAAAAAACAAAACAAAAAAACAGTCACAGTTTACCCACTTGTTCACATGTAGATGTGCATGTTGTAGTTTAACTTTGTCTTTGGTTTGAACTTTTAAACATGCAAATCAAATTATTAACCATTAAGATTTGTAACAATTTATACCTGGATATAAAATGCTACCATTTCCTATACAAGGAAAAGTACTATCTTTTGCTTGGATGGAAGTATGTCAATGTTTTCTCTAATAAGTACATTCAGGGAGACATTGAATATACTCGACACTTACCCTGAGGGTTTCTTCATCGCCATCACACTGCTCTGCACAGTGCCAAAAGTGGTTCCTAATGGGTTCAATCCACTGACTTATATCATCGCACCCTCGCACTTTAGCAGCCTACAATAAGAATTCCACATAATAAGTAGCATACAATGTTTGAGTCAATGTGATATGATTGGCTATATTTTCTATGGCATGGTATAAATATATATACATATATAACTATTTAAGGGAAAGCCATTATAAGCTGTTATCAGCTTCATATACTATTGTATCATAAGTTTGCAGTACTCACAGCACTCAGTTTGGCAGTCAATTTACATGAAGTGCCACATGTCCAAAGAGTGGAATAGATCCTCAAGATGGCTTGGATTTTGCTCTGAATCAGAATTGCTCACAGTCACAATCACAATTGCTCTGAATCAGAATTGCTCACAATCAGATGTAAGTAGTGCTCCATTATGGTATAAACACAATACTTAGCACTGTGCCCTGGTGAATCATTTCTCCCATCACCAGCCAAAGCCAACTCTTCACCTTTAAAGACCTCCCACATCTTCTCTTTCATTGCTTCCCACAGTTCCTTTACAACTGGGGTCACACACATCGTCTGAATTCGAGAAAATGTACTTTCTGACAAAAAACGCACATTCAAAAACTTCATAAGCATGCTTAGCTTATCAAAGTCGTTCCCTGAGACACCAATTGAGGCAGCAAGAAGAACTGTAGCTGAATAGACCTTTTGGCCTCTTTTAACACCAAGCACAGCAGAAGACTCCCACATGCCATTATGTCCCTCAGTACATTTCCAGCTAACAATCAATACACCCCCTTCAGATTATGTATTGACCACAGAACACTGTCCAACACAACCCTTAATTTGACAGTTTCTCTCAAATAAATTGAGAATCTCCTGCACCTCAGAAACAATTCTCCCCTTATGAAAATGTGACAAAAATTCATCAAGATCACTGTCCATGTTGCACACCTCTTTCATAACATCATCTACTTTTTTCTGAAGCATTTCCATATTATTCTGAGGAGTGTTTTCATCAGTTGTAACAGCAGCATCTGGAATACCACGAGTGGAGGTACAAGATTGAACAATCTGCTGCTGAGGCTGTACTTCAGGTTCACCAGCTGTGGCTATAACAGGGTTGGAGCTAGATGATTGAATACTATGCAGCTGAAGTATTATTTCAGGTTCAACAGCTGTAGCTACTACAAATCCATTTGCTTCAGCTTCACCATGGTTGAGACAGAGGTCTTTATCACTGAATGTAGAGTGTGTCTCTAAGTTGATGTAATGACAATTTGGACCCTCTTCCTCCTCCTCCTCCTCCTCCTCACTGTCCAAGTAACTGCTCAAAATTGCACTCAAAGTCACACTTAGGTCAGTGCTTTGGTCTTTCTCTGGGCTGAAAATAGAAAAAATTATATCACTGCTGACAAGTTCATATTTGACACTATTCTAAACATTTCATTGCTTCAGCAGATTAGCCAACACTGCAACAGCAGCCACATGTAAAATCTGTGCTCTATGCATAATTTTACATGCACTGTTCTAGACAAGAATGCAAACTTCAATCAACTGTTAAATAATCAATTGCAACTTATGATAAATTATTAGGGCTAAATGTCAAATGCATCACTTCCCCTTTTCAAAGATGTATAATACATGTACTTAGCTACAAAATGAAGCTTGTTTACATCCCAGCTTTGGTCAATGAATGTACCATATGCTGCACTTACAAAGGTTGGCTGAATGACACAAGTGAAGGGTCCTCCTCTCTGATGTAGTTATCATCCACTTTCACATGAACTGATGAAAATGACAGAAAAAGTCACAAATTATTTCACTAAAATCAATAGAAGAATCATGACAACAGAATACTGTAAAGGCCCATGAAGTTACTTAAGGAAAAGTAGCACGAGGTATTTTCCAGAAGTCACAAATAAATAGACAACCTGGTAAGAGTTTGTACTATCCTTTGCATAGTCATGAATAGAATGTGGGCCTCAAAAATGTCCGCAGCTTTACAATTAAGTGCAAGGTTATACAGAAATCTTGCTGACAACCTTGCACTAGTGCTTCATACACCTTACAAGGTCAAACCTACTTCCTTTGTGCACCATTCTGTGACTTGCCTTTCTAAGCTTTTGTCAAAAATGGCATGCACAAACAGTGCGCTCACCTGCATGTATTCAATTGATATACTGTAGATGTTGTAAACAAAGGAGACAATTAAATATTATTGACAAAAATATGTATGAATAGACACCTTTCATCGTCAATACTACAGGTAGTTTCAGAGTGCTCAGATTCTGACAGAGGGCTGTCCTTGAAAGGATTTCCCTTCAGTGAAGCAAACGAAGGATTTATGGTGGCTGCCTTTTCCCAGGAGGTGGTAAGGTTCCACATGGAGGTTTGCCTCGAGTCATTCACTTGAGGACTAGCTACTGTGGAGCCAGTGACATTAACCTCAATAGTACTAATAAAATATGAAGGTGGAGAACTATTTAATAACTATTATTCTTACTACCATAAAGGGCAAATATTGCATGCTTGAAAAAATAGGATCAGGCAGAAAAATTGTCACATTTTCTTATGACCACCTGAAACTCTCATAAAAGGCAGAATGAAGTGCAAAAGTAATACCATCACACAAAAACTGCACAGACTGAAAGGAAAAAAAATTAAACTTATGGGTAATAGATTTCCAATATATGCAAAGAATATACATTTTAAAACACTAACATACCTTTCAGCAAGAGTGTGCCTTGCTTGTGAACGTGTCTTTGGCAGAGGAGTTGATTCAAATAAAGGTCTCTTATCTGATGAAGAATGATGAATCAATAGGCAAATATTATGCTACCCAACGTATTATGACAAACGCTGGTTGCTGCCAGACGGGATCCACACAGAGCCGATTGAATTCCGCATGGCATAAGCAGGCAGAAGCTGTGTGTTTGGCGGGACAACCAAAAGCTTGTCATGTACAAACCCCAGCATAGGGCCATCATGCAAATAATATTAAACAGGCTCATCAGGCTGGGTCACAGCCCTTTCAAGGTTGTGGTTGTGGACCGGGTCTGTGGCTCTTTGAAACCCCCCTTCTAGCTCACCGGGCTGGTAGAGAAAGTGAACATTCACGTTGGAGGGAAGCTTTTTTTCATTCACACCAACAGACCTTGAATAAGGAGTGGAGGGTTGGGAGGTGACAGACTTCTCTTTGATAGCATCAGCCGGCTTTTTGCCAGTCAGGCGAGTGACTTCTTTGTTCAGAGCGGCAACAACGTCGGGGAGCCTTGTGACCCATGCGGTTGACCACTGGCCAGAAGGCAGTAGCATTTCCACGGCATACTGATAGCCGAACAAGCGCTCGGCCAGCGTGCGGTTGAAATGCTCATCGATGGCTTGGTCTCAGTGAATTTCAGCATGCCCACAGCAGATATAGGTTGTGTGGTTTTCCATTTCTTTGGTCACGCTTCCCATGAACTTGCGCCCAGGATTGACCTGCAGCATGTGCAGCCAAGCCAAAGGGCTGTGCCTGTAAATTGACTGGAAAGCTTTTGCAACCTCAGCAGAGTCTTTCGAGGTCAGAGGCTTGGTTTTTTTTTGTAGCGGCTGGCAACTTCAACAACGGCCAGTGCATATTTGTAAATTTTGCACCGTGCGGGAGCTTGTTGTGAGGCAGAAAAAGAAGGTCCACTTGGTGGACCTTGTTAGGCGTCGCTACGTTGAATTTGGGACAAGGAATGTAGCGCAGCACGGGGAGATAGATCTGTCAGAAAGCCTGTTTGATGAGCCACTGCTTGGTGGTTTCTTCACTAGTGGATGCAGCATCCGCTAATTTTTTGAAGGCAGCAATGCCTTTCCAGTAGCCCATGAGGCTGTAGTAGACTTTTGCGAGCTGCTTTTCAGTGTCCATATTGTAACACCAGTAGTGCCGTTTTAAAATACAAGCATTTTCAAAGAAGAGGAAAAGCCGCGTAGCCGAGAGTGAGCGCGCTGCCGCCCACAAAAAGCAACTCGCCTTGCTTGTGCTGCTCACTGGGTTGATAAAAGTCAACGAATTGAGGTTCTTTGGGTGGTGTGATTGTCTAGGTGGGCCTGGTTATAGAGTTTACATGCGTAATCGGTGTTCGTGAAGTTCTGCTTCGCTTGTTGTTTGATTTCTCTGTGGGTTTGAATCCAACCAAGAAGCTTCGTGCACTCACACATGTATCTGGCCATAGTGGCCTGATAATCTTTAAGGGCTTTGTTGTGCCACTTTTTCTTTCTCTGCTGTCACCAGACAAATATTTGGCAAGATAGTTCCCGCCAGTGAAAGTAGCGGCATTAAGAATAGCACCTCCGACCATCATCACAATGCTAGCCATCGTTAAAAACACATATTTTTAATTGTTGTTCGTTACACAGAGGTCAGAAGAATCTTTTTGTCTTCGAGGTACTCTTTTACCGCGACACTGCCCGCCAGGACAGCTGTGAATTTTGCATAGTTCATGCTGCTGCTGCTCGGGTCAGCAGTGAAGTTCTCTTTCACCACCTTTTTCGCAATCCAGCCGATGCCGGTGGCTAAGCCAGTACGAACGGCCACATCCAAAAACGTTTTGACGCGCTTGTTTTCAGACATCTGTTCTTCGAACATATATGGCGCATTTTTTATTTTTTAAAATAAAAAAACAATGGCCAGCCTCATGTGGAAGAAATCAGGAATCTGCTGCAGGCTGCGGTAAAACCTCTTCTTCCGAAGTGAACAGCACAGAAATAAGATGGCGGACAGTTTTGAAAACTTTTTTGTTGAAGTTAATCCAAAGCAGCCCTATTCCAAAAAAAGGCAGCAGTGCTGATAAAAGCCTGTTGGACGTCAACTTTTGGTTTCATTTTTAATGAATGAAAGAAAAGTTTAATTGATTTTTCAGTCCATAGGGCGGAGGCCTTTTCTTTGAATTGGCTGCTGCCTTGCCCAGCCGGGGGCATTTCATTTGTGTCAACACTTGTTTGCATCGAAGGAGGAGGGGCTGGCTGTGGACTGGTGCTGAAAACTTTTTTTATCTCTTCGCGTTTGTCGTAGGTCCAATGATTGAAGCTAGAATGCTGATGACACTGAGCCATTGAGTTGTGAGAACGTTTTTTCTGGCTTCGCTTGGAGCTTCACATGACTCTTCGCGTGACTCTTCGAGTCTGGGTGAGGCCGCAGTAAGCCGATTATTTGCAATGATGACAGCAGCTTCAGCCACAGCTTTTTTTCTGTACTTCGCGCACCTGTCTTGTTTTCTCAGCAACGGTTTTGCCCGCAGCCACCCGCTTGGGGTTTTTCACCGGCTGTGGCTTGGTGGTTGGTATTTTTGAAGTCACCTGCGGCTGCGGTGAGGCTGCAGCTGCAGTTTGAGTGAATCTGCCATTACTTTAGTGAACAAAAAATAACTAATTGAGGAATTGCTAGCCAATGCTGACCGATTCAGCAGTTTGCTCAACAACTTCATCAACACCATTTAAGTGGATACCTGTCTGCATCATGGGCTGCGGCCTTGCAATCTTGCAATCTGCTGCTTGAGGCCATCTTGGAAAAGCTCGCCCGCATATTCTTCAAAGATGGCCTTCGTGGTCTTGGTTGAAGGGTTGTAAAACAGCACGAGCGCTGCCACATTTTCACAGAAAGGCTTCACAATGCTGGAGAGCTGCCGAGCCAGCACCCGCACGCTGATGTTCGTGGGGCACGCAGTGAAGCCAAGCTTGACAAGCTCACCAGTCCGCCCTTTTGCGTCTTTGGAGACCACACAGTCATCAAGGACTATCAGCGTGTTTGTGCCTTCAAAATACAAGCTCGCCTCTTTTAGCCAAAGTTCCACTTCGTGCTGATGATGACATACAACCACGGGTCTCTCAGCAAAGCAGTGAAGTGTCTTATTATAAGGAAACGTCGGGCAGATGAGCACGATGTAATCAGACCTGCCACAAAAAGGGCTGCAGAGCTGGTTCATGAGGAACTGCGTTTTCCCTGAGTTGGTAGGCTCCATGATGAGCGCGTTGAAGGGGATGTTGCCAGGGTCCATATGAGCAGGATTCAAAACTGCACAGAATCTAGCTGGCTGACCATGTTAAACTGGGAGTAAGAGATCACGAAGACGTGGCAGTCCACATTGCCCGAGCTGGTGCCAGACCACTGCAGCTCCAGCTGGATTCCACTGGTGGTGTTCACCAGGCGCGTACTGTTGCCATGCATTGTGTGGTCTGCCATAGAGCGCAGATCGATCAGAACCCCGAACTTATTGTCCATGTAGAACTTTTTCAGATTCATGTGTTCAGTTTTATTTTTTTCACAAAGATGCAGCTGGCCTCTTCCCACATGTCATTGCTTTCGATGCCGTTGTTGTACAGCATGTTGGGAGAGCCATTGACCGTGACACCGACTTCGGTCAGGTGGGGCAAGATGTATTTTACGGAATCCCACGTGCCCGAGGTGTACGGCTCCATGAACAGCAGGAGGGCTTTTATCGACCTGCTTTGGGCGTTAACTTTGATGTTCAGCTGCGTGTCAGTGTCTTTTGAAGGGTATCAGTTTATGGTGTTACACATGATCTTAACCAAACTGCTTGCCACTTGTGTACATGCTGCACGTCTCGTCTGCCAGTGGCAGGCTGTGGATCATTTCGTACTCTAGCTGGATGTTGGTCAGCTTGTATTTTAGCTTGGTTGGATCCGAGCCTTTGACCACCTGCGAAGCCAGCGCAAGCGTGACTTCGAACATGAGGTCACTGTAAAGCGCCCAAGGGTAGAAAACGCCGTGGTCGGACAAGATCTCATGGTCCAGCCTGATGCGGTATTTGGTCCCGTAGATGGTGGTCAGCGCGTTTTCGGCGGCGACTCCCGAGGTTTTGTCGCCTGCATTTGAGGGTATCTTGCATTAGTCTTCGCTTTGGATCCCCTCAAGCAACATGTTGTTGTGCTGTTCCTGCGAAAGGAACAGGTCTTCGAAGATTTTGAAGATTTCATAATCAACCGTTTCTTGTAGGACAATGCCTGCAAACTTCACAACCATCTTGTCAACCAGTGCCCGTGTGACGTTCTGAACAAGGAAGTTGTTGTCGTGGCCACCAGAAGGGTCTATGTCAAAGTGCAGCGAGAGCGAGCCAGGCAACAAAACCTCATTTTCATGCAGCTTAGGTACTAAAACATGCTGAGTATTGCCGGGGCTGGCTTCAGTGCTTTCAAAGGTGATGCGCTTGACTGCACGTGGGGCCTTCATGGCACGTAAGGTCTTTTTGGTGTGAGTTGGGGGAAGGTTCTCTGGCACAGACATTTCTTCTTCAAACTGCTTCGACTTGTCGAAGCAAGTATAACAAACTGAGATTATTTTCTAATTTAAAAGCATTATTGAAATATACTTGAAGAGCAAAAATGGCAGAAGGCGGCATCGGCGATTTTGGTTACGAGGATTCTGTCCTTGGCCATCGGCTTGACCACGATGATGATGATGACGATGATGAACAAGAGGTCAATAATAAAACGCAGTTCTTTTTGCCGGGCTTGGCGTCCACTCCCTACGATGGCAAAGAAATGCAAACTATCCAACACGAGAAGACCTGGCTGCCTGATGACTTTACTCCTTTGTATGAAGAAACCCCTTTGTTAGGCGTGCAATCTGAAAGCCAAAGCTTGTGGGAAGCTTTAATGAGGGTGTTTCCTGAGGTAAGCGCAACATATCTAGAATCTTCTTACACCATGACCGGCCGACTACAAGTCAAAATGTAGGGCATTGGCAAAAAATTTTATACCTTGTTCACACGAGATAGGACAGGTAAAGAACAGCTGAACCCCTCACTTACAAAAGAAATCAAAAAATGAGAGCATAAGAAATGATGCACAAGCTTTAAAGGACCACACTCAACCAAAATGCATTGCGGGCGAGCACTGTACTGGCGGCATTTTCTGTAATACAGATAAGACGTATTTCCCGATTGTGTTCAATCATCAGACTGTATCATTGCAATCCGCAGAGACAGGCTGCTGTAGATGCCTCCTCGATGTTCTTTTAGAATTTATAGTTTGTACTCTGCGTATATTTGGTAGTTTTCCTTTGCCATTTACGAACGTGAAGCGTTCAAACAGGAAATCCGCTGCGTAAGGAAAGTCACCGTGTTGCATGGCTTACAATTTCTACGCGAAAGTTGTGGAACGAACGTAAAAGAAATCTAGGATTTACGGATAAATCCAGTAGTGAATTCGCAGAGGCCCTGCTTCATGGTATTGTGCTAGGGGAAGGAAAAAAAGCAACAAGTCGATCGGAATCCAGCAGCCATAATAATCAACAAACTGGTCAAGGAAGGAAACGTGGAACAAATGTGGTCAATTTTTTTTTTTTTTTTTTTTTAATAATTTTAATTTACAAAACACAGTTCTACAATACTTACGTTACTTACAATACGGGTCACTTATGCTGGCAATACAATACTCAATACAGTTCCTTACAGAAAATACAATTACTTGCAATACGGGCTACTTACACTG